TCCTCTGGGACGCAACTGAGAGGTTTTGAGTGTCCCTTGAGAAATACAAACAATCACTGTTACATAATTAGATTTTGTCTCAAAGTCTCCAATCCAATCACACATAAATACAAAGAAAAAATAATTACAGTACGGTTAAATTGGATGATTGACCAACAGCCACTAAACCCTGGTTCACAGCTGATATTGGCTGATTTTTACTGTCTCATTGCACTAATCTTTTTTCAGTGGAGTTCCTGCTTGGAACTAAAAGTTGTCGTTTGTGTAGCTGACCATCGATTATAGCAGATGTTTGAGATAACAAAAATGAAAATCTGTTCAAATACAGAGCAGGCAAAGGCTTGACAGCCCAAAAACAGACATGACAGAAAGTTTTACTTTGTGATAATTCTTTATTGAAATGATTGGACTCAAGGAACCACAAAAAAGTGACATAACAACACAAAACTGACAAACACACAGAGGATGACCAGGATCAAATAAACACAAAGAGCTGATTGAAGATGAACAACAGGTGTGCTGATTACAAAACAAGATCAGGTGTGAAAACAGGAGCTAACATAAGAGTAGCAATACACATTACCGCTCTGTATGAACTGTAATTTTCCTTTGGGATCAAAAAAGTATCATTCATTCATTCATTCATTCATTCATTCATTCATTCATTCATTCATTCATTCACTCATTCATTCATTCATATGTGCCTGTTTGTACCTGATAAATAATGGGTACTTTCCAGGTACCAGCCACTTACATACCAGGCACATTGCAGGTAAGGACCAGAAAGTTATAAAGTCCTTACCAAGGAATTACCATGTAAGTACTTTGTTAGCACCAGGTACTTGTAGTGCACAAACCTGGTACCTACAATATCTGGTACTTACCTACCAGGTAAGAACCATGTATCTAAGTTTTACCAAGTTTGTATCATCCATCAATTATCTATACCGGCTTATTCCTTCAGGGTCACTGGTGTCCGTATCCAGCAGTCACAGTGTGAGGGGCAGGGTACACCCTGGACAGGTCACAAGTCCATCACAGGGCCAGTTTGTATCAGTTAAGTACCAAATTCTTACTATGTATGTAGCCTGGGGCTGCAACTAACGATTATTTTAATAATCAATTAATCTGTTGATTATTTTTTTTGATTAATCAGTTAATTGGCTAAATCATTAAAATGCTTAATTACATGAATATGAGTATATATAAATTAAGTTAACTCCTTAAGGATGCAAGTTATTGATAATGAATTAATCTGAAGTTGATTTATCT